CCCTTGTGTAATAGTGCTGAAATTCAGTAATAAAATGTTCCGCTTTTATGCCTTAACAACATATAGCAGTATTATTTTGTTCTTTATACCCAGCTCCACTGTACAATTTCATACTGTGCTTTTATAAAATTTCATATAAACATTTTTAGTAAACGTATGAATGAGTGAATACATAAACAGATAAACAATCTAATTGATAATGATTGGTCAAGTAGGTCATGAAATATGAGAAATAAACAATTGAAAGTAACAAATAAACAAAAAAAATGTTTATAGCGCAGATCAGTTTTTTTTTTCTTGACTGGCAACTCAGCAGCCACCTTTAGTTTTTTTTTCATGTTGCAATCATATGAGCGAACCTTGCATAGCAGCTCTGCAAAACGATTGGCCTTCAGCATATGCGTAGAATCTGCTCTCTCTTCCTTTCGCTTTCTCCTCTCTTTATTCCCTTTACCCCATACACTGTCCTTTATCTTCCTCTAACCAAACTCAGCCTTTTTACCTCTTCCTGCTTCTTTTTCCTTTTATTTTATTTTCTTATTCTCTCGCTTCTGTTTGTTTGTTTTTGTTGTTGTTGTTGTTAAAATAGTGTTTCGGTTCCTGTTTGTCAAATGATAGCTATTATCGCCTTATCCATCTCCCTTCGTTTTTATTGTCCTCATTAGTAACTGTCTTTTCTCTCTCTGCGCTGTTTCTTTATCCTCTTCTCCTTTATCTTCCTCATACCTTACCTTATCATCTTCATTCTACATTTTCCCCCAATAACTTTTTTTTGTTTATCTTTTCTTTCCATCTTTGTTTTTTTTATTTGCTTGTCTTTTTTTTCTTTTTAACGAAAATACTAGTACAATTTTTCTTCTCTATCAGGAAAGAGGTTATTCGCAGTTTTCTTACCTAATCTGCTTTATAAAGTATTTTTTGTAGTTTATCAATCGTTATTTTCAAATTTGTTTCTCTTACTTCTTGACCTGCTTCTATATAGATTTTTGTATCGATAATAACCACTATCAATTAGTTTATCTATTTTAACCCTTTTTGTTCAGATTTTCCCTTATCTATCATTTTCTCTCTTCCTTTCTCCATCTGTCTCTCCCCTCCCCCCTCTCTCTTATACGTTTAGCATCTCTCCCTCTTCATTCCTCTCATTATTCTGACATTCGAGAGTGCTTTTATTTTCTTATCATTTATTGTTGTATGGATATTACCTTATATAATCTTTGTTTTATCTGCCTTGTATCGTTTTGATTGTTTGTTTCTTTCATCATTCCGCTTTAATTATGCCATTATCATTACATCACTTACATCATTATTCCACCATTAAAGATTTATTAGACTGGTATATAATCATTGGATCAAATTGTTGTCACTTTACTATTTTAACATCACCGAAACGTTA